TCAAAGACGGAATAGTAGGACCTGAGGAAGACGTCCCCAAGAATCCAAAAGGGCTGGCCATTTCCTGAGGACACGTAGGTGGCTTCCAGTCCAACCAAGCAGTAGCCATTCTCCTGCTCAACAGAGAAAGGCAGCACTCATTCATTTGGTCACACATGGCCTGGCCACTGCTAGCCTGAGCCTGGTCAAGGGCACACATTTGGAGTTGAGCAGGTCAAGGACTGGCCCTGAAGGCTCATAGACAAGGTGGTGTATCACAAGAGGGGCTGGTGGGAGGGATTTCCCAGTGGTAAACACAGGTTGTAGTGGCCTGTGCAGGGTCACCTATCCCCATGCTGGGTATCTTTTCTTGCTAAAGCTCCCTTCTGTTCCTCATTGGCAAAAGCAGAATGGTGGTTCAGCTTAGAGTAAAGCTAGCTTGCATTCAGACTTTGCCTTCACCCTCATCATCTGTGCAGCTGGATCAGCTATTGAACCTCTCTGAACCTCCAGGTTTTCATTTGTAAAACAGAAAGAGAATCTCCCCATCAAATGCTGTGACAATTCCCTTCACCTAAAGGGAAGCCTGGGCACCAGGGTGCACACAGTGGCTAGCCCTAGACAGAGCCCCTCTCCACTGATTAAGAGACTGATTGATCATGGGTGACACTCTTCTGGTGGGGATAATTCGAGGTGACATGAGTTTGGAAATGGCACAGGGCCAGGTGGAGCTTTTCTGGCTGCACCTGCTCCTCCACCCCAGTGGCTCAGCCAGGGACCAGGACTTACATTGAGGATGTAGGCAGAGGGCGGCAGAGGGAACTGCACCCCGTTGATGACGAAGGTGAAGGTGGGCAGGTTCTGGACGTCATTACAGTTCACGAAAAACTGCAGAGAAACAGGTTCTTCCAGGTCCCCTCATTCCCCACCCCAGAGCACCTGCTAAGCCTCCTGGATGCCCAAGACCTCTTTTTGGAGCAGAGGGCACAGTTCAGGGCAAATGCTATGTAGGTACTGCGTGGGTGTCACAAGCACTGCTAGAGTGGGTGACATCTGGAGAGACCTGAGAATGTCCCACACCCAAAGACGCTCCTCCTGCCTGAATGGCCCCTCTGAGAGGTTGAATCGCTGCCATTTCCCTGCAGGTGTCCTTTGAAATCACACAGCCATGTGCAAAAAGTGGACCAGGGTCCCTCCCCTAGTGGGGAGGGTTAATTAGGTGACCATTTCATTTGCCAGGACACACGGGAGCAAGGGGGCATAGCTGTGTGGAGGAGAGGAAGCAGTGGATTGAGAGTTGTCTCTTGTTGCTCACTTGCTTGGCCCCAAGTTTCACTCACAGGGACCCACGTTGCACAAACAACAAACACTGAGCTGACCTCTCCTGGCCAGGGCACATCCATGTCACACCCACCTGTCCATACTCATCCTTCTGAGCCCCTATAGCTTGCAGAAGGGAGCTCAGGTACTGCTGGGGCACGGTGAGCAGAGAGGTTCCTGTGTCCACCATGGCCTGGCAGCCCTGGGAGCACCAGCCAGAAGCCTATTCCCCAACATAGAACCTGGGTGGCAAGAAAAGGGCAGCCTCAGCCCGATCAGGTCAGGGCAACCAGGGGAGACCTTCCTGGCACAGGGGAGCAAGCCACCCGATGAAGATGAGCACCCCCAAGGGCCATTGCAGCTTGTTCCCTTCCTCACATTCCCTCTGAGTCTGTGCAGGGTCACCTGAAGGACCCAGGAATATATTCTGAAAACTTCAAGGAAGTTTTGAGAAGCACTGAAAACCAAGGTTGTCGTGATTGTTGTAAGGACGAGGAACAAATTAGTTGTCCCACACACCTCAGGTTCTAATCTGTAGGGTCCTGTGTGATTAGACAGGAGCTTCTCCAGTACTTGGGATTCCATATGTGCCCCCCCTACCCCTTTCTCGAGACCCAGGGTTGATGCCCCTGTGGAGGACAGCTGAGGCTCTGGGAAGGACAGGCCACAGGAGTCCTTGGTGGGAGCCTAGATGTGTGCGTGCCATGGGTGCCCAGAAGCCAGATCCAAGGAAGGTACATCCCAAAGGGACACCCACCCAGACTCACTCCTCGATGCCGATCTGCCAGTAGAGCTCCCGTGTGACAGGAGCCCAGAAGATTCTGCCCTGTGTACAGGCTCTCATCCACACCTTCAAAGATGACTGCTCCTCCGTCCTCAGATCCCCCTTGGCTGCAGGACACACAGGGAAGGGGGAAGTGAAGGAGAGGTTAAGGAAGGGGACACACATATTGAGAAGTCACCTTCACAGGGAAAGATCTCCTCCCCAGGATTCGGATGGGGGTGTCCTGAGGACAAGGCCATGTGTTCCCACAGCCCCTGAATGGCGCTGCCCCAACTGCATGCTACAGAGCACCCACACTGTGCTGCCTTCTGCCTCTGAATTCATGCCATTGCTGGACCTTGTCACCAGGAGCCCTACTGAAACCCAAATTTGTTCTTTTCTGCTGCAAATAGACAAGGGAAGGCTTTGGTGGAGGGGAGGGAAATAGGCCATGTTTCTTCCAGAAGCCTCCCCTGAGTGGCAGCAGAGTGGGTGGCACCTGGGGTTATGGGTAGAAGTATGAACAGGCCAAAGGAGTCCCCAGGGTTAGTGACAGGGCCAATGTGTTGAAAGCAGGATAAGGAGACCAAGCCACAGCAATAAGATGGAACTGACTCTAGAGTAGAGAGGAAGAAAGGTGGACAGCAAGAGAGAAAAGCCAGGCCCAGGGCCCTCCTGACCTGGCCTGCTGTGGGGGTTGGGGGGACAGTGGGTGAGGAGTCAGTCGAGGGCCTAGACCAGGAGACTTCAAGACCTAGAAGGACACAAGCAGGAGGAGAGGCAGCAGGTCACTGGACAGAGAGGCCTTGGGGAGAAGCACAGGTGAGGAAGTGGGCTCTCGGGGCCCAGAGCAGGAGGCAGGCCCAAGACATGGGGAATTAGAGCAGCGACACCCGGGAGAAGTTTAGACTGAAGAAGGAGAGACCATCCTGCCTAGGAAGGCAAAGGGTCGTGAGGGTGGACTGGGGCAGGGGCAGGGGAGCAGGAGAGTCAGAGCCCAGGAGCTGAGGCTCTGAACAAGTGTGGCCCAGCCACCCCCTGCTGGGAGGTCTCCACACCCCAAGGGATCAGGGCTTGGTACAGGGCAGGAGTTAGGGACCCGCAGGGCAGTCTCTCACTTGCTGAGGTAGACGCTGAACATGGGGCTGGACAGGGCGTCCACCCGCAGCATGCCCTGCAGGGCTGTGGTGGCCCCTCCCGCGGACAGGGCAGGGTAGGCCAGGCCCATGATGCCATCGAACTGCGCATAGACAAAATTGGTACCCGGCTCTTGCTCACTCAGGCCGAACTCCTGGTTGGGGACCTGGATGCTCTGGACCTGTGGGGGGAAGACACATTGGAGGGGAGGTGACACTTCTGAGTTCATCTATGTCCTCCTGCCCCATATCACCAGAGACCCTCCATGGTCATCCTTCCTCCTCTGGCCCATCTGCCCACGTCTCCACAGGCATCCCAACTGTCATTTCTCTTCCAAGGGCCTCCTTCACTGTAGCCTCCCATCCCCACACCTCTGCCCTCCAGTTCTGAGCTCCTGAAAAAAGGCACTCTCTGACTGGTCACTCTGGTGCCCCATCCCTGGACAGGAAAGAACAAGGACATCTAGGTCCCCACCCTCTCACACCCCCTCATCCAGGGTGGGGGTGGCAGCTGGAGCACTCACAGTCAGGGTGTCATAGCCGAAGAAGCCAGTGAGGCTGCCACTGCCATACTGCATGGAGAAGGTCTGCCCGTTGGTGGAGAAGGTGGAGGACTTGCTGGGGTTGAAGCGAGGGTGTGTGGCTGCAGGAGGGAGCCATGGAGGCCAGGGGTGAGCAGAGGGCTGCCTGGCTCTCAGGCTCATGGGCTGCACCCTGCCTGGCCCTCAGCCTAAGCTCCCAGCCTGAGGCTTCAGCAACCCCACCTGGTCACCAAGGCAGGGGCTGACAGCCTTGGCCCCTGGATCCTCTTAGTTGGAAGGCATTGGCCTGAAAGCCCATGTTTCACAGGTAATTGGATGCCTGGATGATGACCTCCCTGTAAGCAGGTGCCCTAGACTCCACCTCTATCTCTACCCCACACCAGAAACCGGCAGAAACCTAGTGGGAAATGCTCATCCAGTGAGGAGTGGGAGGGAGACCTAGAGAGGCATCCACTCATCCCAAACTCCATTCACCCAGGAGCTGGGCATAGTGGGATGTGGAGGTGGCATGGGGTGTGCCCATGGTGGACAGAGATGTCCACACTCTAGCCGCAAGATTTTGGAAGGAAGCAGGGCAGCATTAAGAAACTGAAGATCCTCTGTCTCTCTAAATGACTCCAGGACAGGGACCACATCCAGCATAGTTGTGGTCAGTCCCTGGAGACGCTCAGGGAGAAGCTAGTGGATAGGAGAGTGGAGGGCGAGGCACAGAGTGGACAGTGTCCTGAGGGGAGGAGCAGCACTGCCCGGTGAGCAGGAGAGGGTGGAGCAGAATGAACTGGAGGGGGTGAGGTGGATGGCAGAGATGAAGGGGTCCATCCTGACACGAGGCAAGGCAAGGGACCACCCTGGAGCAGGGCCAGCCTCCTCCCTCTGGCTTCTTGATGTCCTGAGACCCTAAACAAGTCCCTGGTCCTCCTCAGGAGTGAGCACCCTTCCCTGCCTGCATCCCTGGACATGCCAGTGCCCAGCCCTGCCCAGGGGCCCTCCCTGCCCAGCCCAGCACTCACTGCAGGCCTGGCTCTGGCAGTAGACCGAGGGCACCCACAGGTTGGAGGAGCCAGTGTCAAACAGGACCAGGAAGTTCTGGGGTGGAGTCCCGATGCTGATCTCACCAAAGTAGGCAGCCTGGGGAGCCATGGGACAGCTGTGAGCATTAGGGGAACCCAGAGACCAGGTTTCTCCATGGGCAGAGCAGGAAGGATGCCCTGTCCTACAGTACCACCAGAAGCCAGGGTCCCAAACACACAGGTCTCAGTCCCAGCCTGCCCAGGGCAGCCACGTGGTCTCTGTGGGTCAGCTGCCAGGTCAACTGGGGCCCTCCCCATGCTCTGCCCAATGGGCCACTAACAGCAGGGTGGCCCAGGCTGGCAGGACTGGGAGAAGGGAGCAGCCTCATAGTGGGAGGCCAGGGAGTCCCCAGCTTTGGCAGGGACAGGGGCACCTAGAGCTCTGGGACTCACATCCATGTAGGTCATGGGCTCATAGAGCACGCTGAAGTCGCTGAAGCGGTACTTCTGAGCAGGGTCGTACTTGTGGGTCTTCAGGAAGTCCCCCAGCAAGCCCTTTTCCCTCATGGTCTGACGCATAGTCTTCATTTTCCTCAGGGAGACCCTAGGGGAGGCTGGGTGTCAGGGCAGGGCCTCCCTCCTTCCTCTACCTTCTCATTTCTTCTCTCCCTGATGGTCTCCCTCGCCTCCTTCCCTCTTCCTCTTCTTTCTTTCCTTCTCTACTTCTTTCAACCTCACTCAGCACTTGCTCCATCATTTGGGAAACAATGAACTTCCCTCATGCCTGCCCTCAGCCCCTCTCAGGGGTCCTGCTCCTGCCCTGGCCTCTGCTTTCAGAGACCCTGAAAATACTTCCCATGAAGGGGAGAGGGACTTGGGACTCTGGGAGTTTATAGCTTCCAGAGGATGTCTGCTGATATTTGTTCTTTTGTTGTTTAATGGTCAGGTCTGGGATGAGACTCAGTGGGAGAACATTTGCTGAGCATGTGCCTGACCTGGGGGCAGTCACCAGAAACATGAAAAGACAAAACTAAAATAAAATAGTTCTCAGAGATACCAAAGCTCACCCCAAAGTGTGTCCCTTCCTGTGGTGCACTCAAGCACCTGGTACTGCCTATGAGACACACCGTGGAGTAGGGGAGCAGCAATTGTCCCCTAATATTTTCAATCTGCAACTAATTGAATGTGTGACTATAAAGCTGCACACAGGAAAGGCCCTCTGCACTCTTCCCTAGTGGCCCAGCAGGCAGGGTGGCAGGCGGGGACTCCTGCTGTCCCCTGAGCTAGATCACCTGCTCCATCCTGAATTTTCAACACCTCATATTATAGTGATTTACAGGAATTGGTGTCTTTGCTAATTTGATCTTGGCTTCTTCCAGCAAATTTGAGGTCTCAGGAAAGTTTTTGGAGAGATTGTCTCTCTCCTCTAGAAAGGATGTTACCTTCTGTAGGAAGAAACCACACCCATCTTGCAAAGGCCTGCTTGGGCATAGTCACCCTACTCTCTGCTTCAGGACCATCTTCTCCCCTCAGTCTGGGGAGGGAGGAGGCTTTTGCCTTGACTAGCAGCTCCTGAGGCCAGGCTCTGTCTGCTCCCAGATGAGTCCTGCCCAGCTCCACCAAGGGCAGCCTTCCCTGGCCCAACAGGGAATCCCGCTCAGACCCAGCTGCTGCCCCCTGACTAGCTGCTCCATACAGGGCTGCAGGCTTCCTGAGGTTCCCTGCACCCACAG